CTCTACTCTTTCTTCATCCCGTCTCCGACGTCTTCCTCCTTCTCCGCTGCATCTCCTTAATTCCTCCCCATCCCCCTCCTTCCTCTCTATTCTTCCCGCCATCCTCCTTTTCTTTCTCTTCTGTCCCACCTCAATAACACTAGCATTGTTAGGTCTAGGAACTAACTTCCAAACTTCATTTCTTTGAAAATTGTTTAATTCTTCATGCATAGCCAAAACCCAAAACTCATCATTTAAAGCATCATTAACCTTTTTAGGTTCTAGTTGAGATAGAAATGCAACATTACCACATTCACTCAAGGCTTTTGAGCGAGTTATAACTCCTTTTGAAGGGCTCCCAATGATTTGTTCCTTTGGATGGTTTGATGTGAATTTCCAAGCTTTAGGTGGTTCAACTTGTTCTTGAGCATTGGTGCTATCTACATCCTTTTGAACTTCTATAGAGGGAGTGTCATTGATTTGCAACAAGTCCAATCCTCCCTCAATATCATCATCATCATCTTTCCTAGGCAACACAACTTGAGAGCCAACATTAGTCTCATCAAAAGTAACGTTTATAGACTCTTCAACAACGAGGCTTCGTTTATTGAAGACCCTATAAGCCTTACTTCGAGGTGCATAACCCAAGAAAATACCAACATCAATTTTGGAATCAAATTTATCATGGTGATCTTTTGTATTTAAAATAAAGCATTTGCAACCAAAGACACGAAAATAACCAATGAAAGGAGTTTTTCCATAATAAAGTTCATAAGGAGTTTTCTTAAGCTTTGGTCTAATCAAAACACGATTTAAAACATGGCAAGCCGTATTGACAGCTTCCGCCCAAAAGTATTTTGGTAAATCAAATGAGTTTAACATAGTGCGTGCCATCTCTTGTATGGTACGATTTTTCCGTTCAACAACACCATTTTGTTGTGGTGTTCTAGGAGCGGAAAACATATGAGTTATACCATGATGAGCACAAAAATCATAGAAAAATTCATTTTGAAATTCACCACCATGATCACTTCTTATTTTAACAACTTTCAAATCCTTTTCATTTTCAATTCTTTTAACATGATTAGCAAATTCTTCAAAACAATCATTTTTCTTTGCAAGAAATATTGTCCATGTAAAACGAGAAAAATCATCAATAATCACAAAAACATAGTGTTTGCCTCCAAGAGAGGTAACACGCATAGGACCAAATAAATCAAGATGAAGTAATTGCAAGGGTTTAGAAGTCGATACCTCATGGATGGATTTGAAAGAAGACTTTGTTTGTTTACCTTTGGCACAATCCTCACAAATTGTATCTTTTATGAAGTGCAAGCTAGGTAGCCCTTTCACAAGATTCTTCTTAGACAATTTTGATATTAACTCCATATTTGCATGTCCAAGTCTCTTGTGCCAAATCCAAGGATTTTCATCAATTGCCGCAAGACACTTCACATCTTGATTCACTAACTCATTCATCTCAAAAATGTAAACATTAGACTTGCGATTTGCAATAAAAACAATTTTTCCATCCATACTAATGATGCATTTATCCGGTTTAAAAGAAATATCAAAACCTTTATCACTTAATTGGCTAATGCTAAGAAGATTATGATTCAAGCCATTTACTAAATAAACATCTTCAATAATGGGTGAGGGTTTCTTACCAATAGAACCGATACCAATGATTTTACCTTTCTCACCACCACCGAAGGAGACATTGCCTCCTTCAATCCTTGATAGGGTTGCAAATAACTCTTTGTTGCCCGTCATATGATGTGAGCAACCACTATCAAGGTACCACATCTCCTTACGTCGTTGCCGTGACGTTCCCTACAAAAGAAGAAGATGAAGGTGTAGTAGCTTTAGGTACCCATGTCTTGGGTCCTTGGTGGTTAGTAGTTTTGGTACCTTTGGGTACCCATATCAAACCATAAAAATCTTCATTGTCTTTAATTCTACAATGAGTAGAAATGTGTCCATGTCTCATACAATAGGTGCATACAAAATTTCTTTTGTATGTACGAATGTTAGAACCATGAAACCTATTTCTACCATGGTGATTGTAGTTGGCATAAGCATGAGTGGGTCTAGTCCTACAACCCTCAATTTCTAATCTTTCAATCTTTGATCTTAATTGCTTATTCTCGAAATCGAGATCTCCTAGCAATTCATCTTTTAGAGCAAGAGAGGTTGTTAGTTGTTCTAGCTTAATATCACAAGAGGCATGCAATTTTTTGAAAGAAGAGTATTCTTTAGACATTCTTTTAAATTCAAAGTTCAACTCTTCTAAAGCCATAGCTATGTCACATTGCATATAAAAAGATTCACTTTCGGCCTCGGATATTACCTCATGTTCATTTGCCATGAAACAAACATTTGGGTCATGAAGAGCAAGTTTGGCTCCTTCTTCATCACTATCCGAGTCACTTGGTTCGGATTCTTCCCATCCGGCATACATAGCCTTCTTCTTCTTGTACTTCATGTACTTTTCTTTGAGCTTGGGGCAATCCTTAGCGATGTGACCCGGTTCATTGCACTCAAAACATTTACCTACACGAGAGGAAAACTTGTTGTTAGATCGAGGGTTAAATTTTTTGTTCATTTTTATAAGTCTAGAGATTCTTCTAGAGAGATGAGCCACTTCTCTAGAAAAATCGACTTCACTCTCCGACGACGAAGATGAGTTGTCACTAGCTCCTTTGAGAGCTATGGTCTTCAACTTTGGTGACGGCTCCTCAACTTCTCGTGATGGCACTTCCTCCTTCTCCTTCCCCTTGAGCTTCTTCTCATGCACTTTGAGCTTTCCGATAAGGCTATCAAGAGCTAAGGTAGTGAGGTCATGAGCTTCCTCAATGGCCGTAGCCTTGGGCTCCCATGCCGGAGTCAATGAGCGAAGTATCTTGTAGTTCATCTCTTGAATGGATAATTGCTTATCTAGACCATGTAATTCATTGATGATATTAGTGAAACGGGAAAACATAGCATCAATGGATTCATTAGGAAGCATTTTAAATAGCTCATAATCATGCATGAGTCCACTAATCTTAGATTCCTTAACTTGGGGTGTTCCTTCATGTGTGACACATAATTTTTGCCAAATTTCGTATGCGGTTGCACACGTGGAAACTCTATTGTATTCATTGTGGGAAAGACCACAGATTAAGGCGTTCATGGCCTTAGCATTGAGATTGGCAAGGTGCCTTTCATCATCGGACATGTTCTCAACTTTGAACTTCTCTACATATTTCTTTTCTATAAGCCCTAGGATGTCAAGATCAATGCAACGAAGGTAAATTCTCATTCTAGCCTTCCAATAAGCAAAATTAGTCCCTGTGAAGAGTGGTGGTCTAGTGGTGGATTGTCCTTCCAACATATGCATATTCAAAGAGGCCTCCATTAGATCTTTTCTCTAAGGTTGTTAAACCAAAAACTGATATAGAGACCAAGCTCTGATACCAATTGTTGGACCCTAGAGGGGGGGTGATTAGGGTCAAGAGGCTCTAATATGCAATAAAAATCAAACACAAGCAAACCACAAAACAGTAAAAGTTCGTTATCCTTGATGCGCGATGTGTTAACGAGGTTCGGCCCTCTGGCCTACGTCCCCGCTCCCCACTCTCGAGGAGAAATCCACTACACACCCGGTTTGGAAGCCGAAACTTTGTCTACACAGCGATCCCACACGATCTCTCTCACTACACAGTTTGATCTCAACAGATCACACCCTCACAGTAGATCTTACACAAGATCTCACCCTCACAGCAGAAGAAAAGATGCAAGACTCTCTCTTTACACAGCCCCTATGGCAAAGAGTAGGTTTACTGAAGCTGGGAAGTGAATCACACTTAAAACAGAGAGAAAACAGGCTTTGAAAATTTTTCTCAGGAAACAGAAAGCTCTCTCTGGTTTTTGCAAACGTTAGGGCTCAAGAAGAAGAAGAAGTCTGGGGGGTTTTTATAAAAGAGTTTAAACCATTTACACAGCCCCTATGGCAAAGAGAAGGATTACTGAAGCTGGGAAGTGAATCACACTTAAAACAGAGAGAAAACAGGCTTTGAAAATTTTTCTCAGGAAACAGAAAGCTCTCTCTGGTTTTTGCAAACGTTAGGGCTCAAGAAGAAGAAGAAGTCTGGGGGGTTTTTATAAAAGAGTTTAAACCAATTAAAAACAAAAACCCAATCTTCCTATTTAGGAAGATAATCTTCTTTTCAGACTCTCAGCTCAGACTGTGCCAAACACTATTAAGTGAAACTGACCAAAGACACAAAGCGGTTGACCGAAGGGAATTTCGGTCGACCGAAAAAATGCTTCGGTCGACCGACCGAAAATTTCGGTCGACCGCTAACAACCTTGAGAACTTGGAAATCAAGCAGAGACATCGTCGGTCGACCGGCGCGGTCGACCGATTTGAAAGTCGAGATTTCGGTCGACCATACCGGTCGACTGACGACCTCTCTGGAAAATAGTAAGGAATGGCCTTGGGAGCGGTCGACCGGACCGGTCGACCGCTTTCTGACATTTTGCAGAAAATTTGACCCAACTTGAAATATTTGCAAAATATTTATTTGACCTCTGAAAATTCTGAAACTTTGTAAAATGTTTTTAATACTAAAAACAAACTGTTTGGAAAAAGAATTTTGCAGATAGGTACTCAAACTTGTGAAAAATAGTATTTTGTGAAAAACGCTTAAAAGCACAAGTCTAAAAACGTGTGTGTGATTCCCAATAGCTTCAAGTAAACTCAGTAACTCTTTGCCTACATTCTAGCACTAGAGAGAAAAACAAAAGAAAGCTAATATCCTCATATAGAGAGCAATACTTGATCTTTGATATAGCTTGAATCGGATGAAGCTTTTGATCGAATTTGTCGTTCTTGAAATAACGTTGCTTCAACTCTTGGCCTCCTCCTCCTTTGGATATCATCGTTGTAGCATATATTCCATCCATCCTCCATTTATGGCACTAACGAGCTTGATAAATGAATTTACTACATTTACACTCAATAAGCCATTAGTACCGATAATGGTGGTTGTAAGAACATCATCAAAACATAAGGGCTAACATTTCCATCTGTTTTGCTTGAGGACAAGCAATAGTTCAAGCATGGGGGAGTTGATAAACATGAATATTACCTATATTTTGACTATGTTTCACCTACGGATTCATTGTTATTTGATGTATGTCCTTGCACTTTTGCCCTGTACCTACGGATTCATTGTTATTTGATGTATGTCCTTGCACTTTTGCCCTGTTAAGCTCCCTAGTTCTTGTTTACTGCTCTATTTATATATTGTGTAGGAATCTGTTAAGCTCCCTAGTTCTTGTTTACTGCTCTATTTATATATTGTGTAGGAATTACTAGAGTTTAGCGTGGATTCGGAGTAAAGAAGGAGTTAAGGAATGCAAGGAAAGTGGCTACACGGTCACCCAATGTTCAACAACACAGGCGTGTTGATTACAGAAGAAAAGCCCAGAAAGCAGAGCGAAACAGAATTAAACACGGCCTGGTCGTGTCGATCTACACAGCCGTGTTGGATGACAGCAGTTAGTTATCATGCGATCTGGAGCAATACTTGAAGTTATCTTTCAACACGTTTTTCCCAGAATTAAAAGGGAGACGCCCTGAAGCACCTGACCAGAGACGGGAGGCTGGAGATCTTGATTTTTCTTTCTTCTTCTTCTCTTCTTCTCTCTAAAAAACTCTTAGATTAGGTTTTCTTTTAATTTGGAATCTGCTGTTTGTGGAGAATTGTGTGCAACTTCAACATTACGGTTTATCTTTCTGATCTATCTCAATTTCCAGTTTATGATTATGATCTTATATATTGTTATCATGTTTTCTATTTCGAATATCTTTTCCACAATCTGTGGGACAAAGAAGCTGAGGTGACTCGCTTAGCGGCCAGTACCCCTGAGGAAATCACCGAACGTATCAATGACGCAACTTCTCATTATACTTGCGAGGTAGAAGAGAATGTCTTCCCGACATTTACCACGTTCGAAAGCTTCCACTATCAGGCAGAAGTCCCTATCTCGGACATGGCTTTGTTCGCTGGATTGTTATCATGTTTTCTATTTCAATTATGTGTGAGTAATTGTCTTATCTAGGATTGAACTAGGTTCGGATATGGTTATAAATTAATGAACTGATTATTGTTGTTATTGACTGTTCGATTTGCATTATTCAATTACTAGTATCTAATTGCCTAGGGTTAATTCAATTGGCCACTGATTTAATTCTTTTAGGATGTTGATTTGAACTGAAAGGTTAGATTGACGCCGGAAAATAGTAATTGAACAAGAATTAATTGATCACGAAAGTAGGTTAATTATTCTTGAGAACATGAGGGATTAACAAGAACTTAATGGGTTTAATTTGGTTTAACACTATGAAAATAGGTTGTTAGGCTGAATTAGGCACGACTTTTAGTCGTCGAAAGAGACTAATAGTTATCATAGGTTAGTCGTTCTTTATGCATTGAGAGATTCGATAACAATTGATTAATTTGTTGATTCAAACCAGAGTTGAAACCGAAGTTCAATCCTAGATCCTTTTATTTGAGTGAATTCGTCGTTGATACTAGCTAGCGTGTTCGTTATTGATAGTAAAAAAAAATAATACTTTTTAACACGATTGGTTTAGATAGTCACAAAACAGTGAAAATCAGTAATTAACAACGAAGTCCCTGAGGATACGACCTTGCATCGCTACAACGATATCCGTGCACTTGGGGATTTGAGTGAACATATATCAACTTTTTATGTTTTGGATATTTTTGTAAAATGGCAAGTTTTCACAAATGAGAAGTGAAATTCCAAAAATTTTGTAACATGTTCATTAACATGTTTATAGACATTTTCTAATGTTTTATATTTTTTTAGAATTTATTTGATATTTTTAAACCCTGTTTTAAGTTGACATGTACTGTTTAAAACAGGCTGTGTGAATATCTTGAGTCGACTCATGAACAGTGTTGAGTCGACTTATAAACTGTTATGTAGTTTATATCTTATTTCTGATGAGTGGACTCATAACATCATGAGTCGACCCAGACAGGTTGAGTCGACTCATGCCTGTCATAAGTCGACTCATAACAGGTTGAGTCGACTCATGCCTGTCATAAGTCGACTCATAAACTATGCTGGAAAGTGTGTTTTGTTTCTAATGAGTTGACCAATGACTTTATGAGTCGACCCATGCATGATGAGTCGACTCATGAATTTTATGAGTCGACCCATAAGCTGTTTTTAGCCTAAAACGGCTAGGTTATGAGTCGACCCATGATTTTTATGAGTCGACCCATAAAGCGTCTGTTGCACAGCAACGACTATTTCCAGATTCTGTTTTTGTGTGAGTTTTTGGTCATTTCCTTGGGGTTTTGGCTGATGTCTTAGGTTGTTATAAATACCCCATTGCATTTACCTCTCCCACCTAACAAGAGAAAAGTTTTAAAAATAGTTTACAAATTTTATTTAAGGGTTTAAGTGTGGTTTAAGAGTTTCAAGTTTGTGAAGATAATTTCACAAGAGCTAGAGGAGATCACCATTTGTGTTTGAGCTTCAACTCTTCTCTCTCTCCCTCTTGTCATCATATAGAGAAGTTTCCTAAACTCATTCTATCTATTTATTGTTTTAAATTATAATTTCCATAAGCTAGATTTACATTGAGTTTAGATTGTTTTGATTTATCTCTTTGTTCACACACAACCTATTGAGCTTATTGTATTTATATTCATAGTATAATTCAGGGTTGTGGGTTTGTGATATAGAGTTGTGCTTACTTGAGTTCTCACATTGTTTAGAAAACATTTTGTTGTAGAGAGCCTAAATTGTGAGTTACACTTTGTATTACACTTGGACACCGAGAGGAGTGTGTGGTGAGAGACGGGGTTGTCCCAAGAGGAGTGGCATTGATAGTAAAGCCTAGAGGTAGGTCGTAATTCCGAGCACTTGAGGGAAACATGGGCTAGAGACCAACACTTAGAGGGTGTGAAGTGTATTTGCAATTGTGTGGATTGTTGTATTGTGAGGATTCACTTTGTATTTGATAATCACATTTTATTACAATTTTATACCCTCATTATCTATTTTTTTATGAATAAATATACCACTAATAATTATTTTTATCTTTTAATTGCATGTTAATGAAGAATAAATCTCAAACTCTCATCTCTTAACAAAGGCCCCTTGATTTAACACCAAAGCCCAAAGCCAAAAGCAAAAGAATGAAGCCCATGAAGCCAAATAATTTCTTTCAATATTAAATGAAGCATTGAAGCCTAAAATGTCAAGAAAATGTCCAAAAGTTCAAGCCTAAAAGCCCAAGAAAAATAAATATACCATCAAGGAACAAATGAAGAAGTTTTGTGAAAAAGGAAACAAATCATGCAATCTGGATATCTCGGTAATGTTTAGTATTTTGGCCATATCTCTCTCGTATCAACTCGGAATTGGCTGAATAAATATTCTCTGGAAAGCTAAGAACGAGATCTATAACTTTTGTATTTATGACATCTCTGAAATCGGAACATATCATGGACAAATATTCGTACAAAGAAGCACGATCTGAATTTCTCTGCTGGAGAAGTAATTATGGGAAGAATTTGAAGGTTAATGAAGAATAAAACTCAAGATCTTTTCTTCCAGCAAAAGCCCATTGAATTAATGAAGAAAACAAGCAAAAGGCCCAAGAATTCAAGCCCAAAAGCTCAAAGGCTAAAAATAATTCTTTAGGGCTTAAGTCTTCATCCAAGGGCTCTCATTCATTGTTGTTTACTATTTTTATTTTCTTGTTAAATAGCCAAGAGGCTAGAACCCTCTTGCTTTAGATTTATTTTATGCTTATAGATTAGATTTATTTAATGCTTATAGAGTAGATTTATTTTCTTTTTGCAATTTATTTTGTAGTTTAGTTTTTACAATTTATTTTGTAGTTAGATTTTAATTTCTTGCACTATTCATCTTGAGGCTAGAACCCTCTTGGGTTTAGTTTCTCTTTTTGTTTATTTTTATTTTGTTTGATTCGCCTTTAGGTTAGAACCCTCTAGGGAATCACCCTTTTCTAAGAAGTGGGTTCAATTTTAGATTACCCATATCTATAATTGAATCCACCATCTTTAATTTCTTGCATTTTCTTTTATTCTTGAATTTTGTTTTTTTCATTCTTGATTTTTATTTCTTGATTTGTCCTTCTTGCCTTATTGATCACATTCATTCTTTGTCACATCCACTCTCACTTATATTTCGTGCTGATTTACACACTATCACTTCTACTCTCTCTATCTCTCCACAATCACATTCACTTATCACTCCTATTTGTCACGCACACAACATAAGAACCAATTTCATATTTTCTCCTACAAATCACCTTCCTCGTGGGATCGATAACTTTTTATACTATAACTTGATCAATTGTGCACTTGCAATTTTACTTTTTATACTATAACTTGATCAATTGTGCACTTGCAATTTTGGTACATAATTATGCCGCATCAGTATTACACTAGTACACCAAGAGGAGTGGGGTAGGTGGTAATGTCTAGAGAGAGATTGTAATTCCTAACACTTGAGGGAGACACGGGCTAGAGACCAACACTTGAGGTGGTAGTTAGTGTGTTTACATTGTGAGTAATTGTAAAGTTTTCGGTGAACTAAAAAACTGAGTGTGAGGTGTAAACGTTATTCGGGTGAGCGTAGAAAACCCGGTTGTGATAGTGGAGATCTCCTCGAGGTGAGGAGCGGAGACGTAGGTCATGGGGACCGAACTCCGTGAACATATCGTTTATTTATGATTGCATTGACGCACTTATTTTCATGTTCATATCTTATATTGCCATTATGTATTGCTCATTGTTTATTTAATCCACTATCTAGTTTATGTTTATTTCACCCTTGCGTTAGTTTCTATATCATTGCATATATCTCATGGCATATCTCATTGAATGGAATAATTTTGACCCCTTATCCTCTTGCAAACACCAGTTAATATTGGCTTTTTGCTTAAAAAATGAGTATTCACAATCAAGCAACCTGTCATACTTCTTAATACATTCTTTTTCTTTTGCAATTAAGATTGTGCTGAAAAGATTATTACTAAGCTGCCTCTGTGTATCCTCTAGCTCATCCTTTGCTCTACAAACCTGCTCACTTATGTTCATAAAATGTTTTTTGTTCAAATCTTTTAAAGCATTCTTCAGCTTTTTGAGCTTAGTGTGGAAACTGAACATTTTGTAACCTTCAACATTTTGCTCCCAAATAGATCTAACAGTTGAGAAATAATCAGAATGCTTCACC